AATTATTAGGTAAAAGATGCAAAATGATCGCAGAAAAATTGAAATATTTGCTTCAAAGCATTTTCTTTCTGAAAAATGATTTTGCATCCAAAAAATAATTAAAATTATTGATAGTTTAATTAGGAAAAAACCAGAGTTAATGGTTAATTAATCAGTGGACTGTTAAACAATTGATATCATCAAATTATTGCCATATGTTTGAGCTTAGTGTTAAACTATAATATTTTCTAATTTTTTCAGTTTTCTCGATGTAAGTTTGAATAAAAGTTAAGCTATAATTTATGCTTTTTATTTAGAGAAAAGAGTATGAAATACAATTTATTTATGTACTCGATGCCTATCTTTTCCATTATTAATGCATATTATGTAATATATTATTTATTCATTATTGCATAAATATTTACTTTTTGTCTCTTATTTAATCTAACTAAAATTTTACCTTAATTAGCACATTATTTTGCATACGATTCTAATTTGAATCGAACTAACTTCCACATTTCTTCGCTTTTTTGAATTACAATTTTTTCATGCTTATAATAAATATATATTAATTTCGTTTGATTCATTTATACCATGAATATTTTACGATTGCAATTATGACATCTTTTCTCATCGATTAAAAATTCATTTATTAAAATTTTTGATTGTTTTTTGTATTATAGAAATGTGGCCGGAGAATTGTCTGAAAGCAAAATGTGACATGGTATATTTGCATAAATGCCCCGAAGATTCTCGATTAGTAATACCACCACCGCCACCTGGAGAATGTTGCGCACCTCCCGGAGAATGTCATTGTGATATACAGGTTGATTTTAAATTTTAAAAAATGAAAAAGAAAGAGGAGATGAAGAAAAGGATTGCTTACATTCTTAAAAGAAAGCGATAAATTCTGTGCTAGCAAATAAAACGGTAAATAAGTAAAAGAGTGAAAAATTGAAATACATGAATTTTTAATTCTAACTATGGTTTTTTGCTATCGATATAAATTGCTTGAGAGATATCGCATAAAAAAAGATCCATAACAGTAATCCTTATTTAGCATTTTATTATATATTATTATTTCAATCAGTAAAAGATTATTACGATAAAAGGAAAAAATTAATATAATTAGTAAGAATAAATTGTATTGGTAGAAATCTTATTTTTTCCATATATTTAAATAAAATAAAATACCATAAGTACAATTAGCATACTTTTGCTAAAATTAGCAAACTTTAGCAAAAGTTTGAGTTTTTTTTTTTTTGTAACTCAAAAAATTATCAATAATTGCTACTGTGTTTCAGAAATGTTATCCGTTAGTACCGGTATGTGAAAAGGGTCTTGAACGAGTTCTCGTAAAAAAAGGTATCAATGAACCTGGCCATTGTTGTGATATCTTTGAATGCAAACAACCAGGTTATTTGCAATCATTACAACTCAATAATTCACTAAAAGGAATAGATCTGAAATAATAAATTTTTTTAAATTGATAATTAATTTTTTATTTTGTTTTTTTTACAGAATTACACTGTGAAAATGTACATTGTGATCATCATTTTTTGGATTATAACGAAGAGGAATGTCCTGATGATAGCATTCGAACTGCTAGCTATGTACCAGCTGGAACTTGCTGTCCAATTAGTCCCGAGTAAACTTTTTCGATTTATTTGTTTATTTGCTTTTTTACAACTAAATTTACAAGCATGCATGTATAAATAATAGTGTGAAAAGAAGATGAAATAATGCACGTAATTAAATTAAGCTAAATATTTCGTAAGCAAATAGTATTTTTCAGTGCATGTTTAAAATGTCATTAATGAGAATATGCTCCTTATTAATCAATAGATTTTTTTAAAAAATTTTTTCATATTTTTTTAAGAAAACAGAAAAGTTTTTGAAAAACTTATTAACATTTTCAAAAATTTTTAAATTGTAGATGTCGATGCCGTGCATCAATTTGTATGCCTGCATCATGTCCTGAAGGTCAAAAGGTGAAGATTTTACAAAAAGGTATCATTTCACTTAAAGAAAAAAGAAAAGCTTCATCTTTTTATCTAATAATTCAAGGAGGAATGCTAGTTTAAAAATAACGTATAAATTTGAAATATCGATTTTAGTCATAAAACAATAATTCTGTCGTTAATCAATCAGTAATCGTTGTATTACTTCTAAAGACAGTACGTTATGAAATAACACGATGAACCAACGAAGACAATGAATAAATTTACCTAATTATTTTGCTAAAATTAAAACTAAGAAAAAAATTCAGCTCTTCGTACATTCAACTTTTAATATTGCAATGGGAGGCATTTTTTTCTCTCAGTCATATAAAAAATTTGTGTAAATTCATCTTAAAATTTTTGCAAATTTAGAAAAAAATCATTTTTATTTTATATTAT